AAATACGGCGATACGCATGATATAAGAAGTGTAAGTAAAATTTTTGACAATCTGAAACACTCCTTTAATTGAATGAGTAAATAAGTAGAAAATAAACTGTCATAATAAATAATATTTGTGACGTCACTTTCATCACCCTCTCCTCCCTTGTTACAAACTTTTCAAATAGTATTTGAATGTTAAAGCAAAAGAGAGAACCATAGTGTTGCATTTTTTAGACAAATAAGCCGCCTTGTCTTTACCGGGACCCGGCCAGTTACCAAACATTTGAATACTTGCATCTTTGATCCGAACAATATGTATAATTCACTGCACTCACGTGATTTGAAAGACTGTGGATAAGAGGGGGCCTCAATCAGTTCCCCTGAAGCTGAGCTAAATGAGTTTCAAAGTGACCTATCAGAGTCAGAAGGAGGAACTTTACCTAACAGTGAAAAATGTGATATTCAACCTAACTTGGTAATAATCAGTGTGCTAACCCCTCTTTTTGGCTAGTTGTTTTGAGTTAAGAAGATCGAGATGTAATTATTTTTAAAGAACCCCGGCACAAAAGCTTTCAAAAGCGCGTAATTGTCCCTTCTTTGTTGGAGGAGCTAGGAATCAATAGAGGAAACTCATAGATCGTGTTAAGCAGCATCAATCTATCCCATTGCATCAAAAGTTCTACATGGATTGGAAAAAGGGATACACCCGTCTTACTCGCTTCACTGGTACAAAAAACTAGAGATTTCAAAAAACATAAACATTTTTATTTAAAATTTATTGGCAAAAAAATAATTAAAAAAACGCTAAAGAGTATTAAATAGTCTAAAAAAATGTTTTTCACCAAGAAAATAAGTTTTTTTTGACAATATTAGGGATTTTACTCCAATTATTCGGGATTTTAACCCTAATATTTTTGAAACTTGATTTAATAGAAGAAAAAGGATTGCATATTTGAAATCAGATTGAGGAATACTATAAAGAAAACATATTGTATGCAATTTTTTATTGGTCTGTGTTATTTATTTAGTTAAACATATTTTTATACCTACATACTTACATAGTTATTGTAATAATTTTATTATAATTATTATATACAACTATGGTTGCAGGTGAATGGGTAAGAACACATGTGAATGGGTAAGAAAATGGAAATTTTATTGCTGGTATGGAGTTTATTGGTTGCCACAACCCCATCATTGCATCCTATTTGGAAAATTAAAAATTGAAAAAAAGAAGACGCCATTAACAAGAATCCAGAATGATTGCCTTTACTTCTTTCTGTTGTCTCAAAATGAGTTCATCAAAAAAAAATGGCGGTGTCATTCGAAGTGCAGCTGTTGAAGAAATCCAGAATGGTATCTATTTCACCATCATAGTCGTTGGTACCCCCAATATATCTTACACTGAGCAGATAACTTTTATTATTAGTTTTCTCCTCTATGAAAGAGAAGCTAAATTCTAGTAAATTAAAGAACAATTCTTGTGTGCTGAAGCTTTTGAGATGAAGAAAGGAGTTGATTTTGCTAAGATTATCATTGATGTGATTTCAAGACTAGGTATGGATATTTAAATATATTGCGGTCTTACAAGGGACCTCAAGCCTTAATAAAGCAAAATTATTTGGAAGCTCTGTACGTTCCCTGTAGGACTCACAGTCTGAATTTGGCTGGTGTGCTCGCAGTTGAATCAGCCACTGAGATCAAAGTATTCTTTAAAAATGTCAAATCTTGGTACTTAGACCAAGACAAATGTTGGCAACTCTTAAAGATGTTATAGAAAACCTGGATTTGAATAGTAAGCAGTTCAGCCAAGCAAAAGATCTAAAAAAGTATTTACATTTTTTGAATTTGTATTGCTATCTACGATTTGGTAAAAAAACCTTACTGCTGTTAAATGAAGCGATTACCATTGATAACGAGCTAATAGCTCGTTAGCTGCTAACGAGCTATTAGCTCGTTATCCGATGGCTGCTGGAAGACCTTAAATGGATTATAGGCTCTTGGTTGCCGTTTTATTTTTAAAGCTGCAAGGATTGGAAACTGAACACACTACTAAATGAAAGAGTAAACTACAGCGCTTTCACGATGAGGCATCAAACACAGCCTATTTCCACGACAGCCAAGCAAAAGAGCTCAAAGTGAACGTTTTTAATGTTGATTAAGATAGTCTGATCCAGCCAATTTGAGGCAAGCAAGATGGTTTGCTAGCCTCAAATCTTGAATCAATTGGCTGGATCAAATACAAAACTAAGCAGATTTCACACTGTCAGCCATTAAAATGTTTTCTATTTACTGTTACAAAAAAACCCTCTTTTGATTTCCACATTGGTAACTTATGCAATAAAATTTCTGAAAGTATTGAAGCTTTTTATAAATTGAAAAGGATTTTAATGAGACTTTAATTCAGCTATATTACTTTTTGATTCACTGTCATATCAGTTATTGCAATGTTGCCTGAGGGAGTACCCACAAAAGTAAGTTCTCTAAGTAAGCCTCTAAATTGTGAGCAAAAGCATGTAGCACGTCTTATTAATTTAAAAGTTCGTTTGGCCAAGCCTAATCTATTAAAAACTAATTTAATTTATAGATTAGGCTTGGCCAAACTAATCAATAAAAAACCAAAATGTTTATTTATAATTAAAATATTATTTCATTTTCACTTCAATAACACTGCCTAAGTTCAATCCACAAGAAATTTAGTTCTTTAAATAATAATGATTTTAGTTTATTAAAAAACTCTTCCATGAGTTATTGGCTCTGTATTACATGCTGCATCAGTATTTTTCCTTTTAGTTCTATATTGGATAAAGAACTACTTCTTCAAACTTCAATTGACAATATACTACATCTCAATGATCTACCAAATGACCTTTCCCTCTTTCCTTACTCCCGAGAGTTTGATGTTGTTAATCAACTTAATAATTATTTTACTTATCAGCTAAATAACGATGATGATACGAACATAGTTGAGAACCCAATCAATTGTAAATATATTGACATTGAAAAATAAAGCCTTTCAAACATCAATATTAATTGTTTTTCTCTTTTTCATTTAATCGCTTTATTAGCTAAATATCTTGACAAATTAACATCAAAAGCAAACATTAAAAGCAAACATTAAAAGCAAGCGCTCTAACCACTGCGCCACGGCTACTTATACTACTTTAATCCATTTCTGGGGTTCTTCGTGATTCTTTTACAGTGTTCTTTTACAGTGTAATGATTACAACTAAAATCCACAAATTTATTTTTGTATTTTGAAGTTTTCTGATGAGGCAAAGTTTTCTTAGTAACTTTGTCGCTAACTAAATCAGTTTTGCATTTTTCAAGCCGTGGCGCAATGAGGAGACTTATTTTAGTACGCCCTGACTCAATTAAATATTTTTATATTTTTATAAAAATTAAGTATTTTTCATGTCTAAATCTAATGGTTAAAAAATTATTAATCTAATAAATAAGTTATAAATTGCTTTAAAATTAAAAATCTGATTAATTTTAAATATGTTCCAGATTGCTGGATATTATCATTCGAGTTCATTTAGCATTTAAGTTATAATATAGAAAACCAAACATTACAAGCCAGAATTTTAATGGAAAGGCTTTCTGTAAAGGTAAGGAAACAATTAATTCAACCAACGTTGAAAAAAAGTTAAGCCTTGTGTTGGTAAGCTCAATGTAGATTTTGTTAACAGCAACGAGGAAATTCTTCAAAAAAACAACAATTAAAGTTCTGAGATTTTTTGCTGAAACAGCAGGGATCGATGTAAAAGTTGTAAAACGCCCATTCTTCTTTTACAATATTTTCTGGGTGCATTTTGACTAGGATAAACTTAAACTTTACTATGATACTGCTTATGACGTCGGTGCTCATTACAGTACTGCTGAAATTCTTGTTATTAAGTATGGCTAGTATATAACGCTCCACTTTTGCATTTGTAAAAAATTGATACATAGCTGCTATATATTTTTTATTATTCTCTAATGCCTAATATTTTCAGGAAGCTCAAGAACGTCGACAACTTGTCCAAAATGCTAAGTTGCACAACATAGCTCCTTTAATACGCATCTTGCGCTTCGTAGCAAAAATATTAGGGCTTGTGAGAGAGGACTATGAGAGATCTGATGCTCTTTCTTTTACTAGTCTGGATCCTAAAATATTTAGCATTTCATCTTCAAAGCATAGAGATTATCAGAGGAAAATACTGATTATATATTCTGATATAATAATAGCTTAAATTTTGTAAAGCGTTTAATTTTTATTTTTATTTTTTATTGCGTATTAAAAGAGCTTCACGTGTTGTCACGCGTGAAGCTCTTAATACGCAAAAATTTAGAGAAAAAATAACTATCATTAAACTAATACACGTTTGTGTGAGCATTAAACTCATGATAGCATATTTTAGTTCATAAAACTTTTAAAATAAAATAATAATTTTAAATTTCTGTTAACACTACTTATATTTTTAAAATCAGGAGGTGTTTAAAGCCGTTAAAGTTCTCAACACGCGTTTAATCGCGTTTTACGGGTGCATGAAAAAGTTATATTAATTTTCTTCGGTTTTCTTCGATTGTTAGTTTGCTATCTAAATAATGGTGACGATAATGATTTGTTGACTGATTGAATGTTAAGATTTAAAAACTTTCTTTTAAAATTTCTGGATCATTGAGAGATGTCTATAAATCTCACTGTAAGATGACTATTTCCTTAATTAAAATATAATAATATCCTGTTTCACAAAGTTAATAATACTGTTTTACAACGTTTACTTTTTTAATTCGTTGATAACACTTTTTCCAAACAACAAGATATTTCCAATAATAAATTAAAATAAAAACAAATAAAAAAATTTTAAATCCTATTTTATACGAAGTTAGATTTTATTTGCACCATTATAATGACTTCGTGAATAAATAATAATTCGAAACATTTTCTGAAGAAATTTTTTTTGATTTATAGTAAGCCATGCTTTAAGTTAATAAATAAACGTCTGTTTCGAGTTGTTCAAGTGACAGATGTTAAAAGCTGCACATTTTTTCTAAATGTGTTGAAAACTTATTAGGCGTAATAACATAGCAAAAGTGGGCGATTATTAATACAACAAAATCAATTGGTTCGTTTATATTACCCCAAATCATTTTAACAACGCCCCAAAGTCCATATGGAATCCAGAGAATAACCACGTAAAAAATGACTTCAAGCAACAAAGTTTGAGGTAAACAATGAAAACTTTTATAACCAGGTTTTCCACTTTTATTAGATCCTTTCATCCAGCTGATGATAGCGCAATATACAAGAGGTATCACAAACCCTAGTGCATACATTAAAATGAAGTATGCTTGATCGTACAGATTTTCACTTGCCCAAGCAGGACCGCAAAAGGCACCATTTCCTGATTTAATGAATTCCCCATAACCAAAAAATGGTAAAATTCCCCAAGGAAATGCACAGAGCCAACATAGAGAAATTCGAACAATTGAAACAAATTTATCGTCTTTCTGATCTTCAGCGCTGCTGTACGAATTGATTAACAAATATATAAATGTAAATGATACCCAAGTTCCAATTGAAGCCATTAAATTGCAAGTAATGTACGACAATTTATGGTTATCTATATATCGTATTGTAAAAAACTCACTTCCTTTGCAAATTATTTCTAGCATGATGGCAACTATAAGACTTTTTAGAGTATAATAATCGTGGAATGGCAACATCGCTACAACTGCTGGCATTTTCAAGCATTTATAAAGTTTCCAATTTTGAACTGCCATCATGAATATAGTTGTAGAAAATAGGAGCGCTAGAACATTTTCCATTATTTAATTTGTATTATATTATAATTAACTAGAAGAAATACTCGTCAAAAAATTGAACCAAGATCTTAAAAATATTTTTTTAATAAGAGTTGAGTTTTTTGTTTTTAACTTTTTATATCGGTTGATGTTGTAATGGGCGTCACAAACGTGTTTGTTATCTAAATATATAATCATAATTCAACAATCAAAAATAATAGAATTCAACAATCATTAATAGAGACGGTTTTAAAAATGCTTTGTGGTCTGTGGTTTTTAAAGTTTTTGATAAATTTAAAAATAATTTGTCGGAGTAAGAAATTTTATTAAAAGAACATATTTCTTTTATATTCCCCGATATATTATATTAAAAAAAAAAAAAAAAAAGAAAAAAAAAAATGTTTTCACAATAAAGTTTTTCGCTCCATTTTCTCTCAATTGATCTAAAAATATACACGCTTTGATGTGATTGTATTGAAAAACTAATACTTCGGATTTTTTGACGTTATCATATGCATCTGCGTGCATCTGCTGGTTTTTTTTTTAATACATAGGCTGATTTTTAAACGACAGCTTTTGAGCACTGATTTTTATACTAATTGGAAAAGTACGAAACGTTTGAATCAAATCAATTTATAAATCCTATTCATACGGAGTCACGCCTTGAAGGCGCGACACCTATTTACACTTCTATCATTTTTGTCAGGCCTCCTCAACTTCGTCGAAACTTTTTATTTTTATTTTTGCATTTTATACTATATCAGACTATTACCAACTCTAACGCGTGAATAAAGAGATTTTACAATGTTCTAATTGCGGTCTTGTCGACAACATCCTCAAACTTGACTTTTTTGACAGTCTCCACTCTGTAGATCTATAATTGTTTATAACCAAATTTTACATTAATTTTATTAGATTTTTAATAAACTTGTATTTAATGAACTTGTATGTTATAGTATTTTATTTTTTTTCCTAGCAAAAAATCTTCTGCTTAGAAAAAAACTGCAACAAGTTGTTGCCAAGAAAAAAGGAAAAAAAACAAACTATAATGAATATACAATTACATTGAAAATATAATAAAATTAATGTTAATTTGGTTATAAGCTACTCATTTCATAAACATAAACAGTTATACTTATTTCATCATTTTTGCCAATTATTATGAAATACTTATTATACCAACTCAAACATAGATTAAAATAGGATGACAAAGGAGTATTTTCGCTGATGCAACAATATTCTCAACGTTAATGAAAATCCTGACAAAAGTTCACATAATGAAAGCAACTTTTTTTTGTGAAATTCAACGAGAAATCAAATAAATTTTATATATCCAGTGGGTACGGGACGTAGAAAAGACGTCTTTTTAACGTCTTTTAACCGTTTTCAACGTCTTTTGAATGTACAAAAAACATATGTATATGTTGTTTTTGCAGTTATGATATGAAATTCGATAGCCTTTGACTTGTTGCAAATCCTAGACTAATGAAAATTTAACTCTATTGATAATGCTCTTGAGTAATCAAGCTATACCCAGATACAGTTCCATAAATAAATTGTAACTTTACAATTTGTGATGAAGTACAATTAGAAAGCAATGATCAGAATTATAAACAAGAATGATTTAATTTGAGTTGCTTTAAAAGTGTGAGAAGATTTTAGTTTCAATCAGTTAGTTGTTTATAAGATTTATCCTTTTCACTCCAAGAGATAGACAGTATACCCTAGATCCTTAAATACTAATATTGCGATGCTGAGTATGTGACTATATATCCATGAAAAAACCTTTAATGTTAACAACTTTATCCTAAAATGATTTGATTTAGATTGCAAAAAAGTATGCAAGATTTTCGGTTAAAGTGGTTGTCCAAAAGAAAAGTAGTTCGTACGACCCAGTAGGAACGACTAACCTGGGTTAACGAATTTAATGGTTACAATAACTGTTACAAAAACTGTACTGAACTTAACTGTTACAAGAACTGTACAAGTACAAAATAGTATCAACAATAAAACGAGAAAAAAAACATTAGTTATTAGGCCGGGTGAATAAAAAAAGCAATAGCTTTTACTCAGTAATTGGTCAGCTTTACGAGAATAAAGACTTCAGCAAATTTGATGAAATTTTTATTCACGTAAAGCTGAGTAATTGCTCAGCTTTACGTGAATAAAAATTTATTACAATTACGTTTTTGTAATAAATTGCTTAATTTTACGTGAATAAAAATTTGAAGAATTTTGCTCAAACTTTTATTCACGTAAAGCTGAACAGTTACTCCAAAAACGCTGAGTTAAAGCAATTACTTTTTTTATTCACCCATCCTACTAATCTATAGGTTAATGCGGTATTGGTAAACAAAAAGTGAAAAAAGATTTAGATTTCATTTCCATTTAGATTTGGTGTAGTGTTACCGCAAACCTAAATGGGATTAGCTGCAGGTAATTCCATTCTTTCCAGGAAACGAGTCAATCAACTTATTGAGACCTAATCTGCAAGAATAATTTTTTATCTAAGTTCAAAATAAAAAGTATTTCAATGCCTTTGAAAATGCTTTTTTTGTTTACTTAAATATTTTCCGCCTTAACTCATTCAGCGCCGCAAGCCTTTGTTACTGGCCCACCTTTTGCTTTCAGTAACTATCAAGCCAAAGCTTTTCAAAAGCAGTTATTTATACCATTTTAACATTCATATAATGAAAAAAATCTACTTACTACTTTTGATAGCTTTATTCTTTCATTTTGATCAATCAATTAGTTTAATTTGCTTTAACTTTAAAAAAAATTTATCGTTCGGTTATTCAAGACCCCCCCCCCCCCCTCCTTATTTACAATTATACAGCAAAGCTGAAAAAGTTAAGATAAGAAAAATTTAGCGGCTATTATATGCAATATAATAGATTTATACCGATGCATTTTTTTTTAAGTGAAAACTAAAATGTAAAATTCATAATTTGTCATCTGGCCACGGGACCGGGATAATAAGATGACTTATTATGCGTTTTATGTCTCCAATTTTATAAAATTTTAAAAACAACTAACTAAAGTAACACAAAATAAACTTGTTTTACAAAAAAAATAAACTTGTTTTACAAAAAATAAATAAACCTAAAAAAGTTATACCCGAAAGACTCCGTCCATTAGTAAAAACTTTATTAGTACTAGTAATAACTTTTTTATTAATGAATGGTGTCCTTCGGGTATAACTTTTTTAGGTTTATTTTTTCGTGACCAGATGATAAATAATGGTTTTTATAACATTATTTTTACTCGCAACAGCTTACTAATGCGGGCAATCAATCTTTTTGAAAAAAAGTATATACTGAAAAAATATTATTAATTCATGACTGACAGTTTGCAAAAATCTCTCGTCAGATTTTTATAATGTTCTCCATCATCCACTAGTTGGTAACATTTTGATTTGATATGATATTACCTATTGCAGTAAATCATGTTAAAAAAATGTCAACAAATGTGAAAAAAAAATGTATGTATGAAAAAGCTTTGAGCACAGACTAAAGCATTAAAGGTATAGTTGTGAAACTTTACCAAGTTGTTGCATAAGCAATTTGATGAAACTGTGAAAAATTGCAGAACATACATCTAACGTTAGCTAATATATATTTTATATATAATTTATAAATATATATAATTATAAATTATAAAATTACAAATATTAAAAATAATAATATACACTATTTTTCATAAAATCTTACTAAAATTTTTCATTAAATCTTTCATAAAAAAACTTGGTAGTACACCGTTGCCACCTTAATGCGCAAAATAAAATACAGATATTAAAAATTTTTTCGAAAGTATAACAGGAATCTGTTATAAGTCGAATAGTGTCGTTATAAATTTGACGATACAACAGAGATGTCTGTTATATTATAAAGTGGCGTAGTTACAGTTGATTTTTTTGGCGTAACTACCTTTAGCAGGTAGATTCCCATATCTGCGAGGAAATTTTTTAAGATATTACGGACTTATAAGACAGCTTGAAGAAATAATGCTTGGGTAAACACTTTGCTCCATAGAAAACAATTTAAAATCTACTCATCAAATATATATATATATATATATATATATATATATATATATATATATATATATATATATATATATATATATATATATATATATATATATATATATATATATATATATATATATATATATATATATATATAATAAATAAATAAAAATAAAAAAGTTAAAAAATAAATTTTTTTATAAATACATAAATGTTTAAAAATTAAAAATGAAAATGAAGATAATTTCTGAGTTACTCAAAAAGCAGAAGAACGAAATTCTAGAAGAAACAAGAAAGCTATTAGAAGATCATGAAAAAGTATTCGCGGCGTCAATTACAGCAGCAAATATGAAAATACTTACTGAGCGGTTAGAAAAAAAGAAAAACTTGGTAGCGAAAACTTAACTAAAATCAATAACATTGTAATTGAATTAGAAACAAATAAAGTCTCTTGCAGCTGATTGCTGATTGAATTAGAAACAAATAAAGTCTCTTGCATCTGATTGCTGATTGAATTAGAAACAAATAAAGTCTCTTGCAGCTGATTGCAGCAATATTATCAAAGCTATTTAAACTAAAAAAGAGATTATTACGGATAAATTTGAAGTTGTAAAGAAAAAAACGAAGAGTTAAGCATTAAAATGAAAGACATTAGCGAAATATTTAAAATAAAAAGTAAACTTAGAGAAATTGAAGATCGCCTAAGAATTGAAGAACAACCTAAGAATAGAAGGCGTAAAGGAAAACGAAAATGAAAATTGGAGTGCCAGTGAGTCCAAGGTGCAGAAGCTCTTTGAAGATATACTTGGTTTAAAAAATATAAAAATTAAGAGGGCTCACAGGACTGGACTTAGAAGCACACATAAAATTCGACCAATTGTCGTCAAACTACTAAACTATAAACACAAAGTAGACACTTTAAAACAGGCGAAAAATTTAAATGGGAAAAATA